TCTAATAGTACTACTTACATTTCCGATGGCTAACAGMCCTTTGTCAAAAAACAAAATTACTCCAAAAAACAAGAAAAACATCCCAAACCCGGTTACACCAATGCCGATTTCTGCAGGAAAAAATCGTGTTAAATTCACGATCAAAACATTTYCTCTAGGAAAACAGATGCAGGTATAAATACTTACTCTGTAAATCGGTAATTGGAATCATTTTGGAGAGAAATAAACGTAAAAATCACTATTAAATTGTCATTGAATGCTAGAAATTCAAAATGTTGGCCACGTATGACAAGATGATGCGCATACTCACTATGTAWATAACCGCAGGTCGATGAGCCTGTGGATTCACTTAGCTAGTTTTTGGCGCTCTTTTTCATTTCTGACTTCTCTTTACCAATTGCATAGTTCATCAGCAAAAGAATCTCAATTTTTTCGTTCATTTGTTTATTTTCCATTTCATATAATTATTTTATATTTTTCCCAATCAAAGATTTGCGTCGATGCGTCGCGTTAGTAGTTTGGGTTACCTGTGGAAAAAATAAATGGTCTTTTTGTGTGCTCTCGTTCTGCGTGCGAGCAGTCAACTAAATAGATATAAAATAACAACTATATTAATACCTTAAACTTCTTATCGGGAGCCCCGCGAAAAAGAAAGAAGCTACAAAATTCCTAAGGGGGGAGGGGATGATAGGTGTGGCCAGCGATGTTTGTGTATAGTAACCAGCGGCCTTGCCCATTGCTTATCAATGCAGTATCGTCGGCACCTCCATGTCAGTGRCATTTTGTCTGATTAATCTCGCAAGAAAAGGAAGTACTTCCACTACAAAAAGCTGAACGACTCAGCTATAACTTAGGCTTCAAATAGAAAAGAAAGAACAGAAATCGGTCTTGAATTGAACAAGAAATCAAGGTGCAAAGTTCTACAACAATTCGCTTGGTTGTGTAGCTCTGCGTGGGTGGACTTTGAGGAATCTTGAAGCGACGGTCTGTGTTTAAATAACATGGTTTGCTCTTAGAATCACTGGATCTTGTCAATAATATGAGTGTCGTCAATTAAGATTCATTTCGGCTGGGATTTATTGTAAAATTYGGTGTCTCGCTGAATTAGCCGGGCATCGAAGCCGATATGCCTCGACAATCAATAGGTGTTGTGAATGCTCTGAATCGCCGACAAAATGGCTCATCTTTTCCGACTGACCAAAGAAACCTTCTTCATTATGTCGAAGAGAAGACGGCTTCGTCTTGTCACAGAGAAAAGGTGAGAAATTGTTAGTTTATTCATAGTAGTTTAGTGGGAAAACACGGACAAAATGACGTGACACTTCTACTAGTGAATTCATTATCTTCGTTTTATTATTTGCTTTCGCATGCCATGAAGTTTTGGAGTTCTTAGAATATATTTTCACTGCAATGATGCCTGGCGGTGGAAGATATTTCTGTAGACTTAAGTAATAGTTTTATTGCTAATATTAAATATATATACGTCGTGTGTTCCAAATGGCACGTCTCGCAAATTTGTGACCCCTATTTATTGTCTGCAAATTGACATGACAAGCTCTTTTAAGAGCTTTAAAAAGCTTCCTTTTATCCTTGTCCTAGATTTCTTGTTATTGTTATAATTGTAAAACCTACTACTATGAAATTCTAACCTTTGATTACAACTTGAAGTTTGACTTGAACATTTGGAAATATGATATGAACTGACTTCGAATGGAAGTTGAAGCAAAAAGTCCAATATAAGCTTATTCTCTCTTTGGTGAAGCCAAAAGCTTTTACCTCRATGAAACTGTAAATGTTGATTTGAACGACTTATATTTTTCTCCATTTTTGGTGCTATCTTTTTGCAATTAACCTTGGCTCAAATACATGCTTAAAAATGCACTTTACTTCAGCGAGTTTCCGTCTCAATTGTATTGTATATGCCCTTCACATTCCTCAAATATTGAACGTTTCTGTGTCCAAAACACAATTTTAATATTGTTTTAATATTATATGAAATCTTATCGAGAGCATGGGATTGTTCATGGTTGTTTTTAGAGTAACTTCTTTTCACCTTGACATTAATATTTAGAGAACATTGAATATATTATATCAGATACATGCCGTGTCAAGGTCGTTCGCGACACATTATAACATGACATATTGCCGATGTAAACATATGTGATGTTTTTATTTTTCTTATTGACATCTTTTTATCAGTTCCATGAACCTGCCAAGGTTGTTTTAACATGTTTAATATTATCGTGTATTATTTTAAATAGMCATTTAATCATAGTTTTATATTCGATCATGTACAAAATGTAACAATTAAAATGAAATATTTCTGTGCAAGAAATAATGAAATTTAATCCCTAACTTGGCGTCAAGACTTTGATTTTTATTTGTGGACTTTCTCTCACGAATTTCATGTACAAAAGAATTCTTATATTAATGATGATAATGATTGTATTGATTTAAATGGCTTAAAATAATAATAATATATAATAAGTCACAATTAAAAGTACTCTTGTATACAAAGGATTATTTTTCTTATTTCTACAATTTTGTTTTCAGACTAAGACTAAATTGAATGCACTAAGCAATGTAAAAACATTATTATGGCTAACAGTCAAATAGTGGTTCCACTTTTTATCTAATTCACATTGACCTTAATATATGAACCTGTTGTTTACATTCAATTATGAGGCACGTAGTGGAAAGGCAATCATTTCAATATMTGTTCCTAGGTCAAGGGTAAAATTATGTGGGCTGACATGAGATGTTTTTCTTAACATTTCCTGACTTTGTACATTGTGTAAAAAATAAAAAAAAACTATCTAGTTTCTGATAGCTGATAAAGAACAAAARAAAATATATTCAGTGTGAAGTCAAAACACTGATTATAAGTCTGGCTGCTTTTTTGACAAATGACAAGAAAAAAGACTAGAGTTTAAACAAAAGAATGGCTTTTATCTTGAGCACTAAAAATCGGTTATTTGAGAGAAGATAACTTAATCTGTAAGACAAATAGTATTAGTTACCAAGTCRAAATGGTGCTGAGTAGAAAAGAGGAGGCAAAGGTATTAGCATAATTTAGCTTTGGTGGGATCTAGCGGTAAACTAGTGTGAGCTGCGTAGGTGTTTTGAAACATTTTTTTGTAAAAAGATAAATTTAAAACCATAAAAAGTAGGTGAAATAACTTAGTGGCATTCCGTAATATTACCCTTCGTCGGAGTAAAGGATAATTTAAGTAATTTAGCTTTGCTTTTTCACTTTTTCAATGCTTTGCATTCAATAATATTTGAATTGTTATCATTTAAAAGTACATTTCTTTATTGTATCTTGTCATATTCTTTCAGAATTGTGAGTTGTCAGGTACCCCAAGGTCAACATTTCTAGTGTGTTTCAGTCATGATCGGTAAGACTCATTTACTGTACAGTAACTTGTTTGTTTGTATGTGCTCATAGAAATGCTGTATTAATCACTATTCATAATTGAATAACATCAGTAAAATCCAATATTCTCCCTTGTGATTGTATGCTATCTATAAAGGTACTGTGGTGTTATCAAAGCAAAATACCAGTTGACATGTAGAGAATCCTTCTTTCACACAAACAGACAATATTCACTGGTATCTATCACTGCATGCTTAGTGGCTACCAAAGCTCAATGCAAAAACATAATACTCCAGTTTCTAATTCATAGTGAAAAACCGCTGCTCTATTTGACAACAGATTCTCTTGCGTAAAGACCTGACGAAACACAAAAGAGAGCATGAGAAAATGTCGTTATTACAATAGACTTGAAAATTTGCATTTCCCCCGATTTGAGACTAACCCTGTATTCCCATCAGAACTAAGGTATGAGCCTTCTGGGAGTGCAGGGTTATCCTCAACTCAGGGAAAATGTAAATTATTGTACCTACAACATTTTCTCATACTTTCTTTTGTGTTTGGTAAGTTCTTTGCGTAAGAGAATCTGTTGTCAAATAAAACAGTGGTCATTCGCTTTAATTCAAAACTGGAGTATTACCTTCCAAGATAACACAGGGAAGGTCCCTTAATATTTTATTTAATTATGTAATTAAAATTACATAATATTATAAAAATAGATAATAATTGTATGAGGAAGTRGCTGATCCCATTAAAGAGTGCTCAATACACATAAAGTGTAGAGCTAGTTATATATATGATATCAAAGAGGCAAGATTTTGCTGTAACTCCAAGTTTCGTAAAAAAATACTGTCTGATGAGTGCGTAGCACGAAACTCGGAGTTACAGCAAAATCTTGCCTCTTTGATATCATATATAAAAATAGATAATAYATACTTTTAGGAGTAAGATGGCATCCACCCACGGCGACCATACCATACGTGTTGTAAATAGTTTCACTGGTAACTATGTACGTACACTTCGTGGTCACCCAAGGACACCCTGGTGTGTGTCATTTCATCCTTCAAATAATAATCTATTRGCTTCTGGTTGTCTTGGCGGCGAAGTAAGGATATGGGACCTCATGGTATGTAAAAATTTGTGCAGCTCATAAAACGTTTCAGGGGGGGTAATTCTATGTTTTATGTTTATGTTTCAGGGTGGATGTGAGGTATATACCCCTCCTGACAGAGCAGTGATTGCATCCATCTCATTCCATCCAATTGACCATGTGTTGCTAATAGCAACAAGTAATAAGATCTATTTTTGGCAGTGGGAACAACCTCAGCCTTTTGCTTGTCTGCAAACTAACTACATGGAAGAAAAAGTCAGGTACACCATAGGCTACCCAACTATTGCTTGAGAGAAAGAAAATAATGAATGCGCACGCTTATATTATCTTATCGCAATGGCGCGCAATGCGGGCTTCCTGTGGTATTACGTCATTGATCCCCTGCCTCGCAGGTATGTTAGAGTGATTTAGCATGAAGACGCATAGGCTACCCAACTATTGCTTGAGAGAAAGAAATTAAGAATGAATGCGCACGCTTTTATATTATGTTATCGAATCGGCGTGCGCTGTGGGTTACCTGTGGTCGCGCCGATTCGATAACATAATATAAAAGCGTGCGCATTCATTCTTTTCTTTCTCTCAAGCAATAGTTGGGTAGCCTATGGTACACTTGGGTTTTGAAGGATCCTGTTAGTCAAAGGAAGATGGACCCCTTCCTTGAGAGCATAATGTTGTTTTGAGCGTTTGTTTCCATTGCATCTTGTTAGTGGTATTTGTTGTAGTGAACATAGAAAAAAAACGGAAAAGTTATCACTGTAGAATGAATATAACCTATTTAATATATGTTCTTTTAAAAAAATGGTGGGAACTAGCGGTAAACTAGTGTGAGCTGCTTCGGTGTTTCTAAAGAAATAGTTGTGTAAAAAGATAAATTTAACACCGTAAAAAAGTATGTGAAACATTCACATAACTTACTGACGTTCCGGATGGCGTTAATCCTTCTTCGGAGTTATTTCACATACTTTTTTTAAGGTGTTAAATTGATCTTTTTACACAACTGTTCTTTTAAAAAAGCAATACTATCTTTAACTAACTGGAATATTTTTGCTTTCAGATTGGTGAAGTTTTCGCCGTTTGGTGATTATATTTTAACTGGTATTACTAACTGTAGTCACGCGGTAAGACAGATATCTCTTCTCAATAGTTTACAGTGCATTATGCGCATCAAGTGAGCTTAACGATCCGATTGGTGAAGTTTTCGCCGTTTGGTGATTATATTTTAACTGGTATTACTAACTGTAGTCACGCGGTAAGACAGATATCTCTTCTCAATAGTTTACAGTGCTATATACAATACTAAAATACTTTTTTTTTGTTATTTAGGAATCTAATACACAGCAAAATAGGTAATAAATGTTACACTTAAATTAACTTAAGTTAACAGTTTAAAAACTATAGATAAAGATCGGGCTTCTTCTTCGTAAATAAGGTTTTTTATTATTAACCAAACTTTAAAAACTGTTTTCTCGAGGATGATATGAGGGAGTCTCTGTGAGGAGGCTCTGAGTGCCGATACGATAATACGACGTTTTGCGAGGATTTTCCGAGGATGTTCCGAGGACTTAACGAATGTTATCCGGGAATGTTACAAGTRACATTCGACCATGTTCTAATTAATTTTATCAAATCCCAACAGGACTCAAGCTTCAGTTGATCAAGTTCTTCAGTCAGTTAGCTGTACTCAACTTGACAGCGACCAAGTCACTGAGTACATTATGCAGCAAACCGGCGCGCATGCGCAGCGAGGACAGGAAAGCAGTGATGACGTCACCCAGTCAGAACCAACCACATACCAGGGGGTAAGTGCAATAATCGGTCTATTTCGTTATGACGTTATTTCAAAACATCGATCACGTTTAACCCTAAGGTCATCGCTGAGTGAAGCGTGCCGACCAAGCAAAATATAAAATAGTGTTTAGTAAATAGAGAAAAAAATAGTTTTGTTTCCGTTCTCTTTTGCAATAACTTCGGAACATGTGGTATTCGACGTTTTAACAGATTTTTTATGTATCAGATGACTTCAAGACCTAGTTCCAGTCAACCTCCAAGTACTAGTCAAACTGCAACGTCCAGTGGCGATGCGCAAGCGCACACGAGAAGCGAAGACGCACGACCTGTACGTAACTACCGCGGGGTTTTCGCGCTTTTTCGGGCRAGGGACAGCGGAGGATGGAACATCGACACATCTGAGATAGACAGCGACCCCACAGACGTCAGCCGTTCTAATGTTTTATTCAGCRGTAATGCCACAGAGAGCATGAGCGTTGATAGGGTCAACACAATGTCTGAGAGCGTCACCGTTGATACGATGTCTGACTCGAGATWCTCTGTACCCAGTTCCTCCAATGTCACGGTCACGGCCACCACAGGGATCTCAGAAGAAGAAAATCAAGACATGGAGAGCGGTGAGAACTCCAGATCGTCATCACCTGCTACGGTGTCGTCATCATCTCTACCTATGACGTCATCATTCAGTGCTACAACATGGTCGTCCTCAATTACRTCATCTTCATCGTCATCAATGTCATCGTCGTCATCAACGTCGTCGGTGTCATCTTCATCGTCATCATCGTCTTTATCGTCGCGTTATTCCGACAATACGTCGTCCTTGGCAAATATTCTACAAGAAGATCAAAATGTCGAATTGACTCCGGCTAGTACCTCGGGTCTACAAGAAAATATCTTGAATACAGCGATWAACGAGTCCGTCGTCAGTGCTTCCGGTAACGARGACGTCTCACAAAGCATCAGCTTCCTYAATCCATCWAACAGAGGAAATGACGTTAGTGTTGCTATGACATCRTCCGATGTTGCCATGGACACTAATGATTACAGACCKTCAGTTTCAAGCACTGGGGCAACTGTCATGGAAACRTCTGAGCATCGTTCGAGGAGCGTCAGGTCGTCGGGTRTCAATGTCCAAATCGAAAGCGATTCGGGTTCATCTCGGGAAAATCCCGATCGATATGTATCAGGCGTTGGGTCTGTCGTCAATGTGGGAGCAGCAAGCTCTAGAACGAGCTATGTTGCGCATGGCAATAACCACAGTTCCAGTCTTTCGACTCTTTCGCACCAAGAAGGGTCAGGAACGGCCATTGCTACTGCCACCGCGCGAACCTTCAGACACGTACATACCGCCGTGGTTATCGCTAATGGCAACGAAGGTGGACCACAAATTGCACTCAGAACGGCAATCAACCGCGCTATTGCTGGGGCATTTGCTGGGAGTGGAGAAGGAGCTGTTGCTAGCAATATTATCAACACTACACATCGGTTACAATGGTGGGACTTCTCAAAGTGTGTTATGCCTGATATCAAGAATGGTAAGCAGTCTAATAAATACGACACAGTTGTCAATCATAGC